CAGCCCTCCACCACCAAGCCTGAAGGAACAAGGGTTAGAAATGATGTTACTGGGCCTGGTGAGAGCTGGACTCATGGCATAGGGGCTGTATGACGCCAGCCAGAAAGACAGCAAATAGGAACAAATACTCTGACCTCTCTCCTTATGCTCTTCAACCTGCCTGTACCTCCTACAGATACTTCTGGAAACCAGAGACAAGGGTACGTGGGTGATGCTATCAAAGCAGTAGGTAGAGGACAGTCTCCTAGTAGTCAGAGCAGCGTGGGGAGTGTCAGGGAGTGCGTCTGGAGAAGCAAATGGAGAATATCCTGAACAAGAACCCCCCCCCCCCAAAAGAAGTGTAACAATCATTTAGACACCATTTTCTCAAACTTTTAATTTCATTGCTTAATTAAAATGTCTATAGCAAAGCGGGTCCATAGCTACTGATGGGATAGGGGAGGGATTTGAAGGAGTATAGAGGTCTGGATACTTGAGACTCCTTTTACAAGAGAGGCAATGGACATATGGCCAAGAAATCCCATCTTGGATTTTTTGTTAAATAAAACTTATTTTTTCTGTGAACCTAAAACTGCTCTTAAATACACAGGAAGGTATAGAGATTTTCCATATACTTCCTGCCCCTACATATGCAAGCCTTCTCCACAATCAGCATCCTCCAGCAGAGTGGTACACTTGTTACAACTGATGAACCTGATGCATAATCACCCAAAGTCTATAGTTTACAACATGATTCATTCTAATGTATAATGATGTGTATCCATCATTATAACACCATGCAGAATAGTTTCACTGGCCTAAACATCTTCTGCACTCTGCCTTTTCATTCCTCCTGCCCCCAACCCCTGGCACACTGATCTCTTTACTGTCTCCATGATTTTGTCTTTTCCAGAAAGTCATGTAGTTGGAATCACAGTGTGTAGCCTTTTCAGATTGGCTTCTTTCACTAGGGTAATAGGCATTTAAGTTTCCTCCGTGTCTTTTCATGGCTTGATAGCTCATTTCTTTTTTGTGCTGAATAATATGCCGTTCTCTGGATGTACCACAGTTTATTTATCAATTCATCTCCTGAGGGACTTACTGGTTGCTTCCATGTTTTGTCCTGCATCTCTATGGGGGGCTAGGAGGGTGGAAGACAGGTGGAGAGAGAGGAGGAGAGGAGCTGGGAAGAAGTATCACCCAGCCAGGCAGAGAGCTGATCACTAGAGGTAAATTGTAAGTGGACGTTGCATCTTATTTTTCAAACTTAGCCTAAAAAGTTCTGTGGCATCACTTCCGCCATATTCTATTGGTTACAAAACCATTACAAACCTACCCAGATGCAAGCAGAGAATTAATTCCACTTCCTGATGAGGAAAGCAAAGTTCTAGAACAACACTGAGCAACACAGCAGCCACTAGTCACACGTGGCTGTTTACACTTAAATTAATGAAAACTAAAATTAGAAATGCAGTTCATCAGTCACACTACCCACATTTCAAGTTCTCAATAGCCATGTGAGGACTTGAAATGTTTCCATCATTACAGAAGGTCCTATTGGACAGCACTGCTGTGGACAAACATGTGAGACAGGAGATGTTATCATAGCTATCTTTCAAAGATACAATCTGCCATTGGACAGCACTTGGACAAACCAAATCGTATTTGGGAAGACAAACTAAAAATTGCACAATGACTCACATGATGTTGTACACAAAGGTTGGCAGTAACTGCTGCTGTTTACCTGGAAGAGGGGATAACTTGAGTTAAGGCTCTCAAATGAGAGGGTAGATGCATAGTCCCAGGGGCTAAAAATAGGGCCAATAGGAAGATATCTCCAGAAGGGTGATTTCAAAACATGTATTCTCCATCTTTCTAGTGTCATGGGTCTCTTTAAGCACATGATGAAAGCCACCTCTCCCTAGAAAAATATGCACATGTACCATATGATACACTCAAGTTCAGAGGTCCCTCCCAAATCCATCCATGGACTCTCCAGATCAGAGCCATACTCTAGGCTGTGAGCTCCTGGAGGTATTTCCTTATCCACAGTGAGTAGCAGTGTGTGTGGCCTGGATGACACTTCAGCACAGTATATCGACAGAAAGAGGCACATTTCTGCTCAATACAAGTAAGAATTTTAATAGGCAAAGAGGCTCTTAAGGGAAATAGGTAATGTCAGGAAATCAGAAAGTTTCCCAGCAGAAGTATCCATGTAGATTGCTGATTATGTAGAGAAGACTTCAGTGTGCAGGCTAAACTGAATAAGCCGTAAGATCTTGCACAGTGCTGGAGTTCCAAGGTTCTATAAAGAGTGACCAGGCCCAAGCACAGGAACAGTCATCTACAATTTGGATGAAGAGGGAAAAATCCAGAAAAGTTTCATGCAACTGGTGGCAGTTCAGATGGGCTGAAAGAGTAAGATTACTGTATGAGGACACAAGATGATATTTCGTGGCTCACTTAAAAGATTTAACATCCTTCAATTTAATTACCTCTAGTGATCTGGTTTCTGGCCAACTGCTAAACACTTATCTGCCTGTCCTACCAGCCTTCTCTCTCCACTTGTCTTCTGTCCCTCACTCCCTCCCCCGCCCCAAGAAGGATCCACAATGAAACACTCATATGGATTATCCAGGTGACTTCTACATGTCCTTCTAAGAAGGAGGCAGAGGGAAATTTAAGGCAGAAGAGAAACAGGCCATGGCATGGAAGCAGAGTCACAGAGAGGATGCTATGCTGCTGGCTTTGAAGATAAAGAAACGGACTATGAGCCAAGAAATACTGGTCTAGATGCTGGAAAAGACAAAGGGAACAGATTCATTCCTAGAGCCTCCATAGGGAGAGTGACTGGCATCTAGAACTATAAGAGAATACATTTTGCTTTAAGCTACCAAGTATGTGGTAGTTTGTCAAAGCAGTCATAAGAAACTAATAAAGCTGGGGACAGAGCGGATTAAGAACTAACACATAGAATCTCTGCTTCCTCCAAATTCTGAGGACTTGCTACTGGATCAAGTTCATTATGTCAGATGACCTCTTGCCTAAGGTTGAGTCCTCTCCTGGAAGTTCTTCAGGCCTCATACAGGTAGAGGGTGGGGGAAGTATCATCCTCACCTCCACACCCAGTTCCCCTGACAAAGCCACACATCAAATTTAGCAGGGGACAGAACTTGAATAGTCCTCGGTGGGCCTCAGGCCCTTTGCAAAATAGACTTCTGTCAGGTCTCTTTCAAACACACCCAGACACCCCCTCAGCCCTGCAATGTATTGTCTGAATTCTGAATAACGTAAGAAACTCACCCTGAGCCTGAGGCTAAAATCATCCCAGCTTTTCTGATAGTCTTGATGCATTTGTGCAAATCAGTAACAGTCAATTCTTTTTTTTTTTTTAATTTTTTTTAACGTTTTATTTATTTTTGAGACAGAGAGAGACAGAGCATGAACGGGGGAGGGTCAGAGAGAGAGGGAGACACAGAATCGGAAGCAGGCTCCAGGCTCTGAGCCATCAGCCCAGAGCCCGACGCGGGGCTCGAACTCACGGACCGCGAGATCGTGACCTGATCTGAAGTCGGACGTTTAACCGACTGAGCCACCCAGGTGCCCCAACAGTCAATTCTTCAAGACCAGGAGACTAAGACCCTCATTTTCTAATATATACTTGGCAGCTAGAATGTTCCAGCCGATGTTTGATTCTTAAAATTCCATAGCCATGGGGTTTTGGATATAACAGATAGGCTAGTTTGAACATAATCATTCTCAGTATATATGTTCATTGTTGAGTGTGTTACCGTGCAAAATCTTTTAAGACTATAGCTCTTTGTTTTTTGAGAGAGAGAAAGAGGTTCCCCCACAACTAGCCCCATTCCTGATGTACATTGTATCTTGACCTTCGGAATGAGACTGTGCTGGGTCAAACCCCAGTTTTTCCACCTATCAACTGTGTGCCTTTGGGAAAATTAACCTCTCTAAGCCTCGCTTTCCTCAGTTGCAAAATCCACATTCTAATTGCAGGATTATTGTAAGTATTAAATGATGCCTGGAATAGTGCATGGTGTGTAAGGAAGCATTCCAAAATTGATATCCGCTCATTCTATGACTTCTTCCCATATACTCCTTTTTTTCTTTTTTTTTAAACAGAGAGGCCAAGATTGTTAATGTCGTTTGGGGGCACAACTGGAAAAGTGTATCTTTAAAGAGAGCAGACTGGGGCGCCTGGGTGGCTCAGTGGGTTGGGCGTCCGACTTCAGCTCAGGTCACGATCTCGCGGTCCGTGAGTTCAAGCCCCACATTGGGCTCTGGGCTGATGGCTCAGAGCCTGGAGCCTGCTTCTGATTCTGTGTCTCCCTCTCTCTCTGACCCTCCCCCCGTTCATGCTCTGTCTCTCTCTGTCTCAAAAATAAATAAACATTAAAAAAAAATTAAAAAAAAAAAATAGAGCAGACCAGCCTTCAACCAGGGCCTAGACTACCTTCAAGGGACTGAGATAAGTCATAAATCATAAATGTGCAGGGTCAGATCTTGTTTTTATATAAAATATTATTTTGTTCATCATGGAATTTTTTTTTTTTTAGCATTGATTCGTTTAAAAAATACTGCATTAAATATTATTTATCTTGATAACTTACTTTTTTGGCATGTGCTTAAATTTTGTGCCCAAGGCAATGCTTCATTCATCTGGCCCTAGTCCTGCCCTACCTACAGCAGTTTGTGCTAGTCACACCACCGCTTAGGTCCTGGACTGGCTGGCGCAGGCCAAGAAGCCTGTAGAAAGACACGGGAACTTCTGCTGACTTTTAACTAGCGCTTTCCAAGCCCTAGAAGGCTTGCACAGGCCAGGAAAGGTGCGCAGGAGTGGACTACAACTCCCAGGAGGCCGCGCCGTGCGGCGCCCTCGGCCGATTGGCTGCGTGGGCCCCGCCTCCGCTCCGCCCCTGCCTCGAGGACCCCGGCAGCGAGCCCAGGGCTAGTGCGCTCTGAAGCCTACTACCCAGTGGAGACTCGCCCGGCCGACAGGCTTCATGGCGGCGAGGCCAGTGTCCCGGATGCTGCAGCGGGTGCTGAGGTCCAGCGTCCGGAGCTGCAGCTCGGGGGCTCCAGTGACGCAGCACCGCCCGGGGGAGCCCTCCCAAACTGCGGTGGAGGTGAGCCCGCCCGCATCCACACCTTCCCCGCGGAGGGCGCCCCGGCCAGCTGTCCCTTGGCCCGAGAAACACCCAGGCTGGGCCGCAGAGGCCGCTTCTGGGAGGGACCCCCTCAACGCTTAATTGGGGGTGGGGAGAGGAGCGGAGAAATGCTCTCTGAACTGCCTAGTCTCACCGGCTACCCCAGGGTGGGGGCGCTCCTTGGGGTGCTGTTTAACCACCTCCCTGCCCATCTAGCCATGGAACCCCCTTCCAGGTAAGCCAGAGATGAGGGAGCAGGCAGTTAGGGCTCTGCGTCCACTGAGTTGTTATGAGTGCCCTTCTCAGCCCTGCCTCACCCACCCTGTTTTTTGAACGTTTTGCTCGCTTCCCCTCAGTGGGGGTTGTCTGCGTGCGCTCAGGTGTTCTTGTGTGACACCCTGCTTCATAGTGTGACACTGCCTAAAAATGTCACCTTGGTGCCGCCAGTAGTCAGTTGTCACTTCTGTAGTCACAGGGCTCTGGGACTTGTCCTTCACTGACTCTTTCAGTTTCATCCTCCTGTCCCTTAGGAGGGCTCAGCCTCGTTCTGGAGCAGAATGGAGCGAGATCCTCTTCCAGGCTGAGAATCCCAGTTTTCCTTAAGGTTTGGGAGCGGCCCTTGCAGTCATTCACATCACCCCACAGAATGATTCATGTCCTAACAAGTTTTAAGTCCGGTGTTGTTTTTTTGCCCATGTGCTCGGGGAATACTTTGGAGAGAAGCAGGTCTTTTTCATTTGGTGAAACCTCTTTTCTGGACTCATCCAGTCATTCTTTTCCCATCCCCTAGCGGGAGGCTTCATGTCCTGGGAATCATCAGCTCATGTCCCTCCACACCACTGCCCCTGTGGCTTAATGAGGGGGAGCGCCCCAGCCTAACTTGCTTTCCCCCAAGTCTGAGCCCTCCTGGAATCCTCAAATAATCAGGGCTCCTTGCTGGGAAGTGAAGTTTTTCAGTATCCTTGAACTCCCAGCTTCCCTGAGGGAAGAAGAGGAAAGCAAAGATTGCTGAGAAACCTTTAAAGAATTCAGGAAAAGGGAAGTTTCTTCTCCTTCCTGCCCTTAATTTCCTTGGTGCCCCTCAGAAGAGGACCCATGCTAAGTGACTTCATACTTGGTCTCTTTTAGTCCTCTCGGTAAACCATGTGAGGTCAGGAGTTTGCATTTTCAGGTGAGGGCTCCCTGAAGTTAACTTCCCTGGAGTCACAGAGCTGAAAAGTAAGGGGGCAGGAACTCAAGCTCTAGCACCTGTGCCCTTGCCTCTTCCTTGCAGGGAGGGGAGGGTGAGAGGCTCTCCCGCCCTTTCCTTTACCCTATAAGGGGAGGTAGAATTAGGTTAAGAACACAGACTCTGGAGCAGAATGCCAGGGCTGGAAGGAATCCCAGCCCTACCCCTTAGTAGGTATCTGAACTTCAGCAGGTCCTTTCACCTCTCAGTGTCTCAGCCTTATCATTTGTAAAATGGGAATAAGGGTCTACTTCCTAGGGTGGTTATAGTTAAAAAAGTTAATATGTGTACTTAGAACAAAGCCTGACACACCTAAGTGTTGTGTTAGGTACGTATTTGTTTTAATTATTGTTAACCTTGCTGCCATTGGCTCATGCTGTGTCCCATTAGTCCCCTCCCACTGGACACTCAGGGTGGCCATTCTGTCCACTACTTGGTCGTAGACCTCCTATGCTGGACATTCCCCACTAGGGTTATTCTCAGCAGGCAGGTCGCTCCTCAAATGTTGGGTGCTCCCCCGCCTTTCTGCATGGTGCTTAACCCAGTACTCTGCAGGCAGTAGAGTCAGATATTTTTGGCTGTTTGAAACCCAGCTAGTGAGGGGACATGTGGAATAGTAGAACACTGGACAGGGAGCCCCAGGTTTTCACCTTCACTCTGCCTCCAATTTCACTTGGCTTCTGGGGCTGTCCTTTCCCCTCTCTACACGTCTTTAAAACCAGAGCGTTGGGGCACCTGGGTGGCGCAGGCAGTTAAGCTTTCGGCTCAGGCCATGATCTCACAGTCATGGGATTGAGCCCATGTCGGGCTCTGCACTGACAGCGTGGAGCCTGCTTGGGATTCTCTCTGTGTCTCTCTCTAAATAAATAAATAAACATAAAAAAAAAAAAAGAACAAAAAAACAGAGGGTTGGAGCAGCCCATCTTTATGCAGTGGGGAAGGGCACAGAATGTCTTTAAGAAAATCTCAGAGGTGAGGCAAGTCTGGAGATACATACCATCAGCCTATTCACAGAGCTGCCAGTTGGCAAGAGTAGGAGTGGGGCATTGGGAATCCCTGTCCCTGCGTCCCTTCCTGCAGGGCACCTTTCCCTGTACCCTGACAGGTGCCAGGAAAGACAGAGGGAAAGGCCACTGAGTGCTGTCTGTGTGCCAGGATGTGGGTGTCAGAGAGGGGTGAGGTGTGCAGTGAGAGCTGGCTGGGAGGACAGCAGAAAGTGGGCCTTCATCTTAGTCCCAGGACAGTCAATTGAACAGCATCTACAGGTGGAAAGGGGAGATGGTGGAGTGTGGGTAAAGTGGGCAGGTGGGTAGGGGAGACACAGCTACCTGCTGTCCTGATTGGGGTGGCCCGGACCACCTTCTCTACAGGGCCTACCCTGGCCTGGAAGCACTCCACCCCTCTTTCTTCCTCCCAGGCTCCTTGCAGACGTTGGGGCCACAAGGAGCTCGCCTCAGGTCCTGGGCCTGCTGCCTTGGCAGAAACAGGGCAGAGGGTGAAGCAAGGCAGAGGCACCCCGCTTTTCAGAGGGCCAAAAAAGACCAAATGTTGGAGAGGGTGTTGTGCAGGAAGGAAGTGGGTGTAGGAGAAGATAGAAGGGGACAGCAGGGCCTGGGGCAGTGGCACACGATGGGAAGGAACTTTAAGGGGTTATCTTGAGTTCCAGTCTTTCCTTCGGAAACTTTGTTTCAATGAAGTGTGACTATCTGAGCCAGGAGCCATAGGTGTAAAAACCTCACACTTAAGGGGGAGATGGAGGGAGGGGGGAGGATCCAGACCTGGGACTAGGCACCTTGCTAGGTCTTCTTGTTTTTTGGTTTTGGGTTGGGTTTGTTTTTTTGTTTGTTTGTTTCTTTGATTTTTGTGGTTTTTGTTTTTTGTTTTTTGTTTTAGAAAAAAATTTTTAAGTTTATTTTGGGAGAAACAGAGACAGTGTGAGTGGGGGAGGGGCAGAGAGAGGGAGCCAGAGAATCCCAAGCAGGCTCCATACTACTGTCAGCACAGCGCCCTACTGGGGCTCGAACCCACAAAACCGTGAGATCATGACCTGAGCCGAAACCGAGAATTGGATGCTTAACTGACTGAGCCCCTCCCAGATGCCCCTAGGTTTTCTTGTTTAATAGAGATTAATTTTGAGGCACCCCTGGTATGCATCATCCCAAATAGCAGGGATCCCAAATCAGCGCCACTGATATTTGAGTTCTTTTTCTCCTGAATAACCCTGCATATTGTATTCTAGAGCTCTTTGGGGTCTGGCCTTTATCATTCAAACCAAATGCCCAAAGTTAGTGATTACCTCAAGGGCAGCCTCTGTCCCTTAACTAACTCCTTTGTACCATCCTTCTCCACCCCACCCCACCCCACCCCACCCCAATCCAATCTGCAGAGGGTAGGTGGACAAGATACAACCTATGGCAGGCTGCCTGGTGCGTGGTCACCTGCACTTGTATCCGTGGTCCTGGAGGAGCCTAGACCCCACTTGCCTTGCTTTGGATGATGGAACAACAGGTCTGAAACCCCAGCTTTGGCCCATCTGCCATTAAGTAGGGTGGACCCTTGCAGGACCAGGGAAGCTGACAAGAGCAAGAAAACTAGTCCCAGCACACACAGCTGGTGCTTCTCCACAAATATTTGTTTCATGGGTCAATATATGTAAGTAGGAATTATATTAAGAAAATGGTAGCGATCACTTATTGAATACCTGCTGTGTGCCAGGAACTCCTGCAACTGAGTTAGGTAGAATTATTTTGCACCCTTGATGGGAGAGGAAAGTAAGGCCTAAAGAATTTCGGTGATTTGCTCTATGGCTCGTTAGTAATAAAGCCAGTCTTGTAATTCAGGTTTATCTACTCCCAGAGCCTCTGCTCAGAACCAGCAAGTACCCCTGGATTAAAATAGCTCTCCAACCTGGTGTTGCTGGGCCAGTGGTTCTCAGCCAAGCTACAGAGCAAAGAGCTGACACATGAAAAAAAATGAAAAGCCAGGGCCCCATCTCAGAGCAATTGAGTCGGGATCTTTGGAGTGGGGCTCTGGCATCCGTGCTTCTTAGAAGCACTCCTGGCTGTTTAGATGTGCAGAGTTGAGAGCTGCTGTACTTGGCAAAAACCATTTTGACAGTAGAGACCAGCCTGGAAATCAATGACCCCAGCGTGACCGGCTTCGCATACACCACCTTTCTCTTCTGATTAAGCACCAGCCTGTTTGTTCATCGACACAGTGGCTTACTGTATAGACGCTGGGATACTGAATCAGGCAGGAGGGCTTCCCACACTGGGGAAGCAACCTGGTCCAGGCTGGGGTCCTGAGAATATGAGCAGCTAAGGGCCTTCTGCTCCTTCTCACTTGTCCTGGGGGAGAGGCATCACTGTCCGCCCTGCCCGGTAATGCCCTCTGGGTCCAGGGCTCCTCTGAGTGGTGCTGATGTTTTTTCCTCCAGGGGGTTTAAAGGAAAGGGAAAAACAGAAGATTGAAAGTAGGACATGCAGTGTTGCAGGAGAGAAGAGGCAGGGATGGGGCTTGTTAACATCAAAGAAGAGTTTGCAAGCCTGGCTGGGTGAGAGACTGTGGGGGGCAGGGTGGGGGTGGGGTGGGGAGGGAGGTTGGTACTGGCAGTACAGAGTCTGAATGAATCTAGATAAAGTCACCCCAGGTCTCAGCAGTGAAATCTGGCTGCCCCTCCCAGGGCCACAACAGAGTGCCTGATTCCATCCTCCACTGCTCCTTGACTCTGTTTGCTCCCCAGTTTCCGCTGAGTCACGCTCCTTGGTCCTCTCACTTGCTTCCCAATTCCTTTCCTCACCCAGCCACCAACCCCCAATATGTTAAGATTAGGGTGAGGGCGACTAGGGAGGGGGTGGCTTCTGGGCTGATGAACAGATTTCTGAATTGCAAATAGCTGTTGATGAAGAATTGGGTGCCAGACTTCCAGGCATCTGATCTCTTGGACTTAAGGCCTCTGGGGCTCTTGACTTTGTAGTGGCCTCTGCTCCACCCCCAAGGCTACTGGTGGAAAGGCAGGTGAGTAGGAAGTGAGTAGGTGAATAGGAAGGTGGGAAGTCTTGTTAGGATTGTAGCAGACAGCAGTTCAGAGAAGTGACTATTGCTTGCTTGTCATGGGACCATGAGCAGGGTTTCTTGGAGGATGGGCACCGGGGGCGTGGGGGCAGAGACACTGGCCTTGGGGTGGGCAGAGTGAGGTCACTTTTACAGACCCAGGAATGTCCTGGAAGCACCCTCGCATACTTTCACTCAGGTGTAAGTATGTGAGTCAGTGGTCCTTGACCTTCTATCTCCTGAATTGGTGGCCCTTGACCCTGGCTATATGTTAGAACCACCTAGAGAGACTAAAAACAAGTGCTCAGAGATCCAAATTCAGTTGGTCTCCAGTGGAAGTTTTTTCTTAAGCTGCCAGGTGGTTCTAACGTGCAGCCAGGGCCCAGAAGGTCACTGAAGTAAATGTTCCTTCTTGCTGGGTGCAGGCGAATGGTTACCCTGGGCCTCAGGGGGGCCTGAGGCCTTCTGCTGTCTTAGGTTACAAGATCGTGATAATCCTAGGCATTTATCTGTCAGCTACCTGACCCCCCTCCCTTCGCTTACCTGAGCACATAGCTGTGTTCTTATTTTACAACTGGGAAAACAGGCTTGGAGAAGTTAGGGAGCTTTCTCAGGGTGTCAGGTCACACCTGGCCCAGAAACCAGGGGTGCTTGCTCCCCAGTGCAGATCCCTGTCCATAGACCTCATGAATGACCACCACGGTCACGATTTCCTTGTTGTAAAGATTCTAAAGAAAGGACTTTTCCCCACCCTGTGCACCGTCCTGTGTGCCTTCCCAGATTTGCCCTTTGCAGTCAGAGGGAATATTGAGAACTTAGACTCAAACGACCTGGATTTGAATCCTGGGCCTGCCAATGCTGTTCTTGAACTCCATCCCAGCTTCACTTGTAGTAATCCCTTGTGGGGGTAGGTGTGGGAATTGAGCAGAGAGAGTTCTTTGGACACTTTGAGATCATTTGTAAATGTTCCTTCTATGGAGCAGCTATCTCATCAGCATCTGTCATGACCTAGGGTTGTGCTTTCAACGCAGGAGATAAGACCAAATCAGGCTTGGGAAAAGAGTGAGGTTGGCTGCCTCCTTTCTCTCTCCAGGAGGATTTGGGCCTTGCAGGGAGCATCTAGCAATCTCCTCCCTCTTAGTTCCGAGCCAGTGGGTGCATAGTGGTTCCTCCCAGCAGTGGGTGGGGTAGAGGATGAAGACTGGAGTAATCTCTGCAGGGGGTTAGTGGGTGATCATCCCAGCCCCTCCATTGTGCCTTCCTAGAGGCTGGTGGCCTCATTGCTTCTGCAGGCCTCCTTGGTTCTGCTGTCTTTGCCCCAAAAGCCTTCTGCATGAGGGGAGACCTCCCCTCTCCAGCTGTCTGTAGTCCTCAGCTGCTCCTGGTGGCTTGGCCTGTTGGGCCCTCCTGGGCAGTGGCAAGGCCCCAGGGAGCCCAGCCGACAGGGGAGTGGTTATGGAGAAGCAACTCGTGTGACACCCACCCCTCAGAGTTAATGAGTTTGCTTTGAGCTCCTTCTGTCTCCCATTGCAGAGGTAAGGAATAGGAGGTCTGGGTTGCAGAAGTGGCTCCCCATGTCCCAGGCGGTGCAGTGGCAGCAGCCCAGGCCACCATCCCTCCTGGTTCCCCACCTCTTCTCCTCCGTTCTGGACATGCTTGCCAGTTGGCATAGTTGCCGGATACTGAGTGGCTCATTCTCTCCCGCTGGCTTGTCCAGGAAATACTGGGGATGTTTGTTCCTGGACAGGCCTCCTTTGAAGGAGGGCATGGGCTGTAAGGTGGTGACAGGGAGAGAAAGGGGGCAGGGCAGTTTTGTCCCTATAGAGTTCCCGTGCCCTAGGGCTGAGTTGGAGCCTGGGGGACAGGTCCTTCCCTGCAGGCCTGTTTCCCAATCTGTGAGTGAGGGGGAGAAACCCCACGCCCCCAGGACTGCAGGACCCACACAGATGTCAGAGATGAGGGTGGGGGAGGGAATGGCTGATGGGAGGGGGGCTTCTGTCCCCAGGCAGGCTCTCCTCTCCCCTCTCCCCTAGCCCGGTCAGAGGCCCACATTTACTCTGGTCGGGCATTGCAGGAGCTGTCCAGACGGAGACAGTTCCTGAGAGAGCACGCGGCCCCCTTCTCCGCCTTCCTCACTGACAGCTTCGGCCGGCAACACAGCTACCTGCGAATCTCCCTCACCGAGAAGTGCAACCTCAGATGTGAGTCATCTTCCTGGGCTCCTGTCCCCTGCTGAGGCAGCTTCTGAACTCTCCCCAGGCCCAAGAATCCTCCTCAACCCTCCCCATTCCTCTTACCAGCCTCTCTGCCCACCCACCTTCCCTGCTTGCCAGGTGGGGTTGCGAGACAAGATGGGGGTCGGGTCAAGGTTGAGTTTTATGATCCTGGGAGCTGGCTTCTATTTGGGACTGGACTTGAGAACAGAATTATAATTGAGATTGGACCTAAGTCTCACTCTTCAGGACTCTTTCCCCTTCCCTCCTGTTTCACATGTTCCTGAAGTTCAGGACGTGGCCAGGGGCAGGCGTGGGGCTCCTGGACACCATAAACACGTGAAGTACAGCAGTGCCCATGGCCAGCACTGCCAGCTATAGAGACACCCCAGTCCCATGACAGAAGTTGTCTGGGGCCAGGCGGATACACAGAGTATTCATTTCATAATTGTTTGCGGAGTGCTCTGGGGGTGTGGCCACTGCTGGGGGGACTTCCAAAGTTTGTTTGTCCTTCCCTCCCTCTCTCCCCCCTCCTGCTTTCCATGGTAGCTCCCAATACCAATGTTTTTATTTCATGGCCCAATAAATACATGTGTATACATGTATAGTAAACGTTTAACCAAACAATACTCACTGCATGCAGTCCTGATGTTCTGATATTCTTTACCTGTTCTGTTCTATCTTAAAAGACCAATTCTGGACCCTTCACTAATTTGACTAAATGATTCTGTGACAGCTCTTGACCCAATCCTTGACAAGACTCCCACAGGAGCTGATGGGGGATGATGCACCCTTACCTGCCCCTGCTACCTCACCCTGAACAAGTAGTACCTCAGTTTTCCAACCTGTGTAACGGGGCTGATAACCTGAAATAGATAAGCTGGATATGCGAATGCCTGTCACTGTAGAGGAGAGTGACTTCTAACAGGTCAGAGAGTACCTCCCAGCCTGTTTCACCTCGTGACCCAAACATGAAGGGGTAACTGCCCAACCAGATAAAATGAAAGAGGGTGAACAGCACCAGAAGGAATGGGCCCAGGGCCCTGGCCTTCCAGGCAGACCCTGCCCAGCCACCTCACGCACTGAGAGAATCGTCATCTTGTCGTCCCCCACTTCAGGCCGGGCTCTGCTCTCTGCCTGCTTCATCCTCTTTAATCCATACCCTCAGCTTCTCCTCTGAGGGAAGAGGGGGTGTTGACATGTTACAGATAAGAAACGTGAGGCCCAGAGAGAGTCTGTAGGGTCTGTACTAGCTCATATTTGGCAAGGTTGCTCCTCACCATCCAGGAGTGACTTCTGGCCTGGTCATGGAGTGGGGGTCTGGAGGCGCCGTGGGCCCAACCTCTGTGGTCACATCCTACCTCCACATCCCCTCCGTTCCCCTCAGGTCAGTACTGCATGCCTGAGGAGGGCGTCCCACTGACCCCCAAGGCTGACCTGCTGACCACAGAGGAGATCCTGACCCTTGCCCGGCTCTTTGTGAAAGAAGGCGTAGACAAGATCCGGCTTACTGGGGGAGAGCCGCTCATTCGGCCGGATGTGGTGGACATTGTGGGTGAGTTTTTCCAAAGCTGTGACCACTTCTTGCAATGCTTGCCTCATCTTGCTGGACTTCAGTATTCATAATCGGCAGCTGACATCCGTTCAAAGCATAATGCTCACTTAACCCTACCACCTTCTGAGATGGCTACCTTTATGATTCCTATTTTCTTAGAAAATGAGGCACAGAAGTCCAGGCACAGAAGTCCAGTATTTGCTCAGTGTTACCAAGTGGGTAAGTGCCAGAACCCAGTGACTTGCTGTCACATTTAGACTGAAGTCCTCACCAGGGCCCTGAGGCCCATGTGGTCTGGCTCCGGCTGACCTCTGAGACTTCTTGCTCACCCCTTGGCCTCTATTCCCACCACTGGGCCTTTGCCCTTGCTCTTTTTTGGGAGCACAGCGTTCACTGCTTGCCTCATTCATGTCTCTGCTCACATGGGATCTCCTTGGAGAGGACTCCTTGACCACTGTCTCTAAAGTATGTCCCCACATACACACCCCAGCTACCCTCTGTCCCAGAAGTCGGTAAGCTAGAGCCCACAGGCCTAATCTGGGCTACCGCCTGTTTATGTATGGCCTGCAGGCTGAGAGTGGGGTTTTATATTTGAGTGCTTGAAAAAAAGTCAAAAGCAGAATAGCGTTTTGTGACACATGGAAATTACATGAAATCTTAAATTCACTGTTTGTTAATAAAGTTTTATTGGGACATAGCTGCTCATTTACATATCTCCCAGGGCTGTTTTTGCAGAGTTGAATAGGTGCTACAGAAGACCAGGTGGCCAGCAAAGCCAGAAATATTTACTGTCACGCCTTTTGCAGAAAAAGTGTGGCAACACCTACTCGATCCCCTCATCCTACCTTATTTTTTCTTCTCAGCATTTGTCTCATCCAGTGTTATGTTACTTGGTTGTCTGTTTATGTCTCCTTTGTATTGGCTTGCCCTCCCTTTAACCGACATGAGACCTCTCAGGGAACTGAGGCAGGTTTTATGCCTAGCACCTGGGAACGTGCCTGACATGTAGCTGGTGCTGGCCAGCGCTTATTGGTTTGGAGTATGATCTCTGAAGTAGGACATACCTGCGTGTAAGTGTTGGCTGTGCCTCTTACTAGCAGCATAGCTTTGGGCAGCTTGTAAAGTCCATTCGAAGCCTCCAGGAGGGGATGAGGTTGACCTGAGGAGGAAGTGAGCAGGAAATGCCCAGCGCGTGGCAAGTACTCTGAAAGGGGTCACACTGGAGGCCCTCTTGCCATGTGCTACTTCTAAGCCCCGGCATCAGGCAGAGAGAGATCTTTGCTTATGTGCTTCTAGATGACCAAATCAGAGGAAAATAAGGTTCTGTGTTCTTGATTGCCACACCCCCACTCTTGCTGCTCTGGATCGGGTCTCCCAGGCCTCCGTTCTCTGCCTTATTCACTGGTTCAGTGACTGTTCTCTGGAGCCTTATGTGCCCGATACTGTGCTGGGGGCACAAAGGTGAATGAACTGCAGGCCCTGCCACTGAGGACCCACAACCCGTTGGTGGAAACAGCCACTGGGGCCAACTTTCCGAGAAGGACAGAGCAAGGGGAGCCCAGGAGTTGTGGAAGCCCAAAGGAGGTGCCCCTGTCAGCCTTTTCTTCCCTCCTTCCCCATGGCCAGTTGACTTCAGCCTGTACTGGTCGCGTGACCTGGGATCCTGCCATCATTCCTCTGCTGGATGAGCTGGCCCAGGGGAGCTGACCCCCTGTTCCAGGTGGCTCCTCAGAGCTGAAAACAGACTGGGTTCCAGGAAAGGACTGAACCTGCTGAACCCAGCTGACTGCCAGGCCCAGCCCCCTCATTCGGGCCACAGCATCTGCCCTCTGGCACGGGTTCCATCTTAAACCCCTGTGTTCCGTGCCAGGGCCTGTGGGAGAGCAGAGGGGGTGGGGATCCCTGCGGGTTGGAGAGGGATGACTGAGTACAGACATGGGGACACAGGTCCTTCCATGGAAGCCGCTGACCTGCGCGGAGGGAAGAATGGAAGCCAGGAAAGTTGAAAGCCCTGCTCCCACTCTGCCACTGCCCAGCCTTGTGAACTCATGCAGATTCCTTCCCCACCCTGGGCCTCAGTGTCCTTATCTGTGCACTGACCACTTCAGGGGTCTTTCCTGCTATAATGGCCCGTGGTTATTGGTCCTGCATGGGGTGGGTAAGAGTTGATCAGCACATGGACGCTAGGTAGGACAAGGCCCTGGCTGCAGTGCCCTGCTGAGGAGGATTTACCTCCCACCCCCAAGGGTATGGGTGGCCGGGGAAAGACAGCTCTCTCCTTACCCCCCACAGTGCTCCAAAATATGGCAGCTGCAAGGCCTCGGATTGCTCTGGTGCTACACTTGGTAACACTTTGACATCTCTCAGCCAAGCTCCTTCGGTCTTCCCCAGAGGTACTTCCTCAGAGCACTGGGTGCTGGTGGGGAAGCAGGGCTGCGGGAGGGGAGGGAATAGCAATCAGAGCAGGGTTGCTCACCAACACTTGTCCCCACGCTACCAGGCGAGAATATCAAGGGGCGCAGAGTGAAAGTGGTCACGGGTTTGTCAGAGCCTGCTGCTGTCCTGACCACTTCAGACCCCTGCAGAACTGGTGCTGCAGAACTCCCCATGGGGAGACCGCCCAGCCCGCTCCGGCTCCCCATTTGCGATTGCCGTGATCCCCCGGTGCCAGCCCCGGACTGCCGGGTACTTCTCCCACCCGGCTTGTGTGGGAACGAGTTCCGCACGCTTTCTTTGCAGCTGAGCTGTTGTGAGCAGTACTGCCCAACAGAACTTCTCCAGACGATGCAAGTGTTATATATCGATCAGAGTTGTGTGATGCGGTAGCTAGTACTCACACGGAGCCTTGGGCCCTTGGCGTGAAGCTCTTGTGACTCAGAAACTGAATTGGTAACTTTATTACACTTTAAGTAGTTGAAATAGCCACACGTGGCCAGCAGCTACCATGTCAAAGCGAAGGTTGGGGATTTTTGTATCTATCATTCCCTATCTCATTTTGTTTTCAGTTTGTTTAGTTATTTAGGAGAGAGAGAGAGAGAATGAGTGCATGAGCAGGGGAGGGGCAGAGAGAGAGGAAGAATCTCAAGCAGGCTCCACACAGCCTGACACAGGGCTTGATCACGAACCTCAAGATCATGACCTGAGCCCAAAGCAAGAGTCAGACGCTCATCCAGCTGAGCCACCAGGCATCCCACCTAAATGAGATACAGTGTTTTTGGACTTTATAAGGATCCTGCAGATCATGTCTTTCAAGTCACACTCTTTCAGTGCAAACCACACTTCATACACATCATCCTGAGTTGCAGTTTGTTCCTATTCTCTGCTGTTCCATTGTGTGAATATAGCACACTTTATCCGGTTAGTGAGCATTTGGGCTGTCTCCAGGGTTTTGGTGTTCTAAACAGTGCTACTTTAAATATTTTTATTCTCGTTCACGTGTCCCGGTATGTATTTCCTGTAGGAGTGGGATTGCAGCCTTGTAGAATGGGTAAATGGTTAACTTTGGAAAGCAATTTGTTCTTACCTTTCAAAGTAATTATATGCCAGTTTCCTCTCGACCTAAGAGAGCCTTTTGAACCACATCCTCCTCGGCACTCAGTGTGCCTATTCTGGATTTTTGCCAGTTGAATGAGGATGAAATGGTATTTTATTTGGTCTCCATTTGTATTTCCCTGTTTAAGAATGAGGTCAGGCATCTCTTCATATGTTTTTCAGCCAAAAATATCTTTTGTGTAATACCACATCTTGTCTTCTGCCCATATTTCTGTCTGGTTGTTTGTTTTCATATTGGTTTGGTAAAAGTTCATTACATATGTTGCAAATGTCTTCTTCCAGCTTGAAAAAATAAACAACATTTTTTGTGTGACAATTCTGTTGATCAGTCGGCGTTCATAAATGGATCAGTTTTGTCCTTTATGGTTAGCGCTTTTTTTAGGTCTTTTTAATAAAACACCTTGACCAAGGTCAGAAAAATTATACCTTTGTTTCCACTAAAACAGTTGAAGTTTTGTCTTTTGCATTGAAGTCCTAAGTTCATCTGTGGTTGATTTTTGGGAAATCAATTTCATTTTTTTCCCATGTGATAACCATTCTCTCTAGTTCTTTTTTGTTGAAGCCTCTGCTTCCTCTAGAAATCTAGCATGTGCGTCCTGGTGTGTTTTGGGTGCTGTTCTGTTGGTTAGGATCTCTACCTTTATGCCAATATCATACAGTCTTAATCACTGTAGCTTCTTAATACATCCATTATCTGGTAGAGAAAGTTCTTTTTTTTTTTTCTTTTTTTTTTTCTTTTTTTTTTTTTTTCTGCAGCAGTGCTTCAGCTGTGCTTCTGTCCGTGGAAATTTTAGAATCAGCTTAGCGAATTCCATGGAGAATTCTGTTGGGATTTTTTTTTTCCTTTTTTTTGTGTGTGAAAATACACATAACATAACATGTATTATCATAACCATTTTTAAGTGGACAGTTCAATGGCATTAAGTACATTCACACTGTTCTGCACCATCCCCACCATTCATCTCCAGAACTCTTTTCATCTTGTAAGTCTGAAACTTGGTATCCATTAAACAATAACTCTCTCTTCTCCACTCCTCTCAGCCCTTGGCAACCACCATTTTACTTTGTCTTTATGATCCGGGCTACCCTAAGAACTTCATTTAAGTGGGATCATGCCATATTTGTCTTTTTGTGTGTCTGGCTTATTTCATTTAGCATAACGCCCCTCAAGGTTCATCCGTGTTATAGCATCTTGCAGAATTTCTTTTTATTTTAGAGAATGAGTGAGTTGGGAGAGGGGCAGAGCGGGGGAGGGGGGGGAGAGAGAATCTTAAGCAGGCTCCACGCTCAACATGGAGCCTGATGTGGGGCTCAATCCCACAACCCTGAGATCATGACCTGAGCCAAAACCAAGAGTCGGATGTTCAATTGACTGAGCTACCCAGGCACCCTGCAGAATTTCTTTTTAAAGTTGAATAATATTTCACATATGTTATATACCATGTTTT